CATGTTTCCTTCCTCTAATGAATTTTTTAAAACAAAAGATGTTGTGTAAATATTGGTAATGAAGTAGAGATTTGCCCTATGTCATCAATATCAATTTCCATCCCGTTAGTTCACTGTAAAGGTCTAATGTAGCCAGACTTTGTCTGTTGCCATAAGGCAGAGTATAAAATAATAAATAATGATAGACTGGCAAGCTGTATAGACTGTCAGTACTTTCTTGTTTACCTGCATATGCCGAAGATATTTGCTTCTCATTGAGGTGCTTCACCTGATCTTCCATTATAGATGTGAGAGGACTAGTTAAATGAAATCACTTGGGAATCCAAAGGGTCGGCCAAGCTTGGAAAATTATACTTTTCCTGTATACCTTGGGTAAATGTAAACATGTCTTTTAAATTTAAATGAAAGTACCTCAAACAAAACATTTCAATGTCTTTTAAAGAGTTGTGAACTTCACAAACTTTTTAAATGCAGCATTTAGTTGCTCCTCTGAAGCTCTCATTGCTGCAGTCCTGGAACTTGTAAACACAGCTTTTGTTTCCTGCTGGACCGTAAAGTTTGCCGCACAGTGGGTTCCTGGAGCACCTATAGAAGTCAGCCAGTTTGATTTAGAGTTCTGCCTTATGTTTAGTGTGCTGTATGCATCTGAGGCCCTGTCCCAAATGGCACACCAAACCCTTGCGGTCTTCCTCTGAGTCTGCACTGTGGTGATGTAGTGTTGCAAACTTGCCTCATTGCAGTTTCGGCAGAAGTGCACATCAAGGGCACATAACAACCAGCCGCAAAGGGGGCACTCACAAGCACACTTCTGAACTCTAAAATGATGAATGGACACCCTATGCCAGTTTACATGAAGTGTGCCATTTGGGACAGGGCCCGACATTCAGTGATAGGAGAGTGGGCGGTTCATGGGTGTGAAATTTGTGGCTGAGAACACCCCTTGACTTACAAAAGCCAGTTTCAGGAAATTACATTTCATCAGTGCATTGCAAGCACATAGTCCACACATTGAGCATACTTGTGAGCACTCTGTGCCACAGTGGTAACAAACCTACAGAATTAACTGCAAATATCTGTGCCAAAAATTGGCTGTAGAAGTTTACATGAATGCCTTTTAGCATTTAGGCAGTTGAGAATATAATGCATGCTTTGTAGCTACACTTCATATTTTTGCAGTGTCAATCATTTTAGAGTATGTTTCATGCCTTGGCCAGAGCATATTTTGGAAAGTCTTACATATGCATTTGCTGAAATTCTTTATTTACAACACAACAATGCTATGCCCACATTTCTTTAAAAGCTTGTCTGTTATCTGCTTTTTAGATATCACCCAAGTCATCCAAGACATCACCAACGTAAAACCTCGTCAGAAGTACTTGGCTAAGAAAGTGTTTAAAAAGAAAGAGATCACATCCAAAGGAGCTAGTCGACTTGAGGATAAGCCAGCCGAAGAATTTGAAGAGGACGAGAAAGGACTGATGGAGGAGCAGGGGGTGGGAAGCGAGGAGCATGTTCCTCGTGAGGATGTGCCTGATGGTGCCCAGATCAGCAAAGCCTTTGACACGCTCTGTAACATCATACGCGACCGCATGAGGCGGGTACAGAGGCCAGAGCCGATCGCTGACTTCTTCACCAGGGGACGCTATGTACTAGTGACAGGCGACTCTAGCTACCTGGACCCCTGCTTCTTTTCAACCACCCCTTCTGCTAGTCACGTCTACGTCACAATCCAAGATGGCATGATGCCTTATGATCCATACTGGAGAGGTACACCTTCACCTGTCCCGAGCACCCCTTCTGGACCAACACCCTTAACCCCTTCCACACCTTCAGAACCAGAAATGGGAAAAGACGATGGAGGTAGGAAGGAGGGTGGTAATGGGGAGAGGGGAAAATCCAAAAATGGAGAGCCACATCCAAAGACGAAAGAACCGGAACCGAGCCCCAGCCCACCGCCAGGCCCTCATGACGACAAAGGCCCCAGCCCTCCGCCAGGCCCCAGGCAGCCCTCACCCCAACGTGGCGGCAAGGGCAAGACCTCGGACGATCCCAACAGCTTCCAACACCCTCCACCCATGCCATCGCCCGGTTCCATCCCCCCTGACTCCATGACTTACGAGAAGGTAGAAGTAGTGGAGTCGGTGGAGAAGCTCTCACATGACAAAAAAGTGAAGGGCTATGAAGAGACAACCACAGTGGTGGAGACCATGATTGAGAAGACCAGCAGAAAGAAACACGCCGATAGATCCTCTTGAAACCTTTCAAACATTCCGCACGTTCTATCCATTTCTGCCTCGGACCTGCTCCAGTTTTGCCTCCTACCTGCTGTTGACGAGATTCCTAGTGCTGCGCTGTTAACTTCTTGCACCACTGCACCATTGCCTTTGGCCTTTACTGTCTGAAAACTTGGGAAGCCAAAAATTAAATGCCCCATATTCCCCCCTCACACAAAAAGAAATTTTGTAACTGAGAACCTTGACACAGAAAACATTAACTGCCAGTTTTAATTGGATTCACAGACTCTATTCCAAAACCTAGTGAGCCTTCTAGGGCACCATCCTTACTGAAACTGAACTTCTTAAGCGATTGATTTGGAACATTCTACCTAGAGCTACTTACAAAGTGCACAGGGGAATCTCTGTTCAACAAATGGTTTCCAAAGAGTTTGGTGTTACCATGTTGCTAAGCTAATGAAGTATGTTCATAAATTTATAATCATAAAAAGAGAGAGCATACAAATGGTAAATTTTTCAGTTTTATGTTTTATATTCTGCATTTTCTCTTGCTTCATCTGCCATCTTGGATGGATATTCTTACCCTGGGAGTGCCTTCTCTGCAAAAGACACTTGCAATGCTGCCTTAGAATTTTTCCACGTCTCGGTATCGTAGGAGGCAGTGAAACAAAAGCTGCCTACCTTTTGGAACAGCCTTATCATCGGGAGTACGCCTATGATACCTTCAAATGCTGCCTAGGTAGGCAGTTCCCTAGGTTGTGGAATAGAGCCATACAGCCACCCCAATTAACATATAGAGTATCACCCTCTCTCGCCCTTATCCTCAGGTCAAACCAAAGCAAATGTTTAGTTTTATTTGCTACTATTTTGTTCAATTTAAGACACCAGCATTGCCCACCACAGTCTTGATGTGTAACTCCGACTCAAATAAACATCAAACCAAAAAATCTCAATTTGTGTTTTCTGTGTGTAATCTGTAGTGCTTAATTTGTAAATAGCGAGGTCCTGGAACAAAGCGGGGTGACCGATCCGGCAAGTGATCAGAGGAGGGAGAGTTAACAAAGCATTTGCGCAATCACATTGGTGGACCAAATGAAGCGATTGCCAGCTTGCATCAGTTGCTTTTATAGTGCGAACATATACTCTAAACATCATGTTTTGTTTTTGTTTTTTTCCAACCCAAACATTTTTTTGTGTGTGTTTGGGTAGTTTTGTGTAACACAGCTCCTGGGACAGGACAGTTGCAACAACCCAGAGGTTGTAATAAGCGTGGGTATTTTGCATCCTCTTCAGGTGAGAGTAGTTCTAAGTGCCGTCGACTTGCATTTCTTGGGTAAAATGTAGGTTTGTGACTTTTATTTAATCTATAAAGCCGTTTCTTTGCTGTAAATCGTTTTATTATATGCAAAACAAACTACAGGGTGATATCAGTCACCTAAACGTGTTATATCGGTCTTTTGCGACGATTACTTTAATGACAATCAGTTCAACCAATCAACCAATTTACAGAGGTAGTTTATTACCATGGAAATAAAACCTCCAAAATATGGCATGGATAACAAGCATATCTAATGTCCTACTTTCATTCTAATTTTATATTTAAAGGGGACAAAGTAATTTATCATTATTATACATGCATTTTCATGAAATATATGCATGCTACAGGTCAGCATGACCATCTTTCATTGGCGTGAGAGGAGGATGAGGTGCCAGATTGGATTTCGGAGTTGCAGGCTCCAGGTCCGGATCTGGATCTGGCTTGTTCTGGTGTTATGCCGAATTCTGACCCCCGAAGCGGAGGGGTCTTGTATTAGCCTGAAGGGGTTTATTCTGAGATAACAACCGGCTGGATGTACATTATCCCGCTTATTACACGGCTAAAAAAAATTGTTTTTACCATATATGTTGAAATTAATGCTTAAGTTGTCCTTTTGTTTTCGTGGTGGTTAAGTGTTTTCAGTCACAAGATGGCGCCAGACAGTCAACGATAGCGGAGTGACTCGTTAAGCATATAAGTAGTACCAGTCAAGATAACTCGTAGTACCCGGATGAGCGGTGTGTTATTCAATTTGGCGGTTGTTATCTGGGAATAACATACCGCTGGATGGCGAGATAACAACCGGCTGGATGTACATTATCCCGCTTATTACACGGCTAAAAAAAATTGTTTTTACCATATATGTTGAAATTAATGCTTAAGTCTTCCATTGTAACACGTGGTGGTTAAGTGTTTTCAGTCACAAGATGGCGCCAGACAGTCAACGATAGCGGAGTGACTCATTAAGCATATAAGTAGTACCGGTCAAGATAACTCGTAGTACCCGGATGAGCGGTGTGTTATTCAATTTGGCGGTTGTTATCTGGGAATAACATACCGCTGGATGGCGTGATTGACCAATCAGAATCAAGTATTCCACAGAGCCGTGTAATAATCTGAGATAACAACCGGCTGGATGTACATTATCCCTTACTTAATGCACTATGAACTAACATGAACAAACAATGAACAACTGTATTTTTATTAACTAACATTAACAAAGCTTAATAAATAGTGTAATAAATTAATTGTTCATTGTTCGTTCATGTTAGTTAATACATTAATGTAAACAAATGACACCTTATTGTAAAGTGTTACCATTATTAACAATAAATGTACCTGTTTATGTGTACCTAATGTACTTATAATTCTGATTGGATGAGCTGTGTTTAAAATTGTAAAACTGCTAGCTGTTATCTTCTTGGAAATTATTTGCTATAATAAATCGATTTACGTTTAGCAAGTTAGACTTTCAACCACTGTACCCCACATCACCCAACCCGCTGGTAAATTACTGTCTTAATCACTCAGGTGCTTTAACAAACAGCTAAATAGATTTATTATATATAGACAATGCTATGAAATATGCTTTGTTTGGCCATAAGCAGTAGAATGATGTGCATTTCATCTCTTCATAAAATACAAATTAAAAAAAACTTCTCCTCACAAAAAAGAAAAAAAAAAAAAAACAAACAAAGAAATATCACCGCTCTGTTTGCAAGAGACTAAACTTTAAAGGAGAATCACACAAAATGATTTACAGTCACAAACTGTACAGCAGAGGTGGGGACAGCAGGGTAAGCAAGAGCATAATAAAGTATTGATATATTTGGTTTATATACATTTCTGTATAGTGTAAAAAAGGAACATCGAAAGTAAGATGCAATATTTTCTCGCCGGGACATACAGCGGTGCGAAAAAATGAATTTGGACACTCAAGTCACACATTATAGTCTGAATGTCACTGCATTTAAACACAAAATCTATACAAATGATGCTAGAGGTTTTCTCAGAACTAACTTTCTGAAGTACTGCTGCAATGACTTCACCAGCTGCTGTCCAGATGACTTTTAGTAGATGTTTGAACTGTATTGAAACCTGACAAAGGTCTTTTTGTAAAGTGTATGCTTATACAGTGTGCTTGTGCTGTTTTTCATTAATGTAAATGCCACTTGCTGTGATATTTGGCACAATGATGTTCAAACGTTTCCAAGCGCGTCTTAAGTGTCGAAATGGTTTTCGCGGCCGCTGTATCATTCAGAGAATACACTTTAATAGGAGAGAATCACGTCAGACATTCATCAAATAATCACAAGAAAAAAGAGAAAGCCGAGAGAGAACGGGCTAGGAATATACGCTAATACAGAGAGGATATTTTCATGCACGTGGCTAGTTACTTTTACTCAAAAGGCTTTTCAAGCTTCTCTCCACAGCTTCGCCTAATTCCTCCTCAAGCTCTTCTTTTTTGGACATGGCCAGTTTGGACTGGTAGTCCCGCACCACTTGGTCTATGTAAGGGGCACTCTGTGTTCCATGCAGCATGAGGGTCCACTCCTTCAGCACGCCGCTCTGCGGGGCTTCGCCCTGGAAACCCACCTCCAGCAGCCAGGCTCCTCGAGGGTCCTCGCCCCACGTGTGGGTGGTCATGAAGGGCCACTTGTCGAAGCCCACCTTGGAGTCGTCGTCCCGGGGTCGGCGGCTCAGCAGGATGGACTTGGTCCCCATCGGTGAAGTCATGTTGATGTTGAGGTCTCCGCGGCGGCTGGCGTTGACGGTGATGACGGCCTGCACATGCTCCAGATAGCGCACAAAGTTGTCTTTGCCCTGGCAGGCATCGGTCGTGACGCTCAGCACCAGTTTGCTGCCTGACTGTATTTTGCTGCACAAAGAAAGAGAGCGAGATATTATAAATCTTGCATGTAATACTGCTGAAAAAAAAAGTGTAAGCTGCGACCGACGATGTCTAACTGACTCATATGTGACCCTGGAGCACAAAAGCAGTCACAAGTAGCACAGGTATATTTGTAGCAATAGCCAACAATACATTGTATGGGTCAAAATTATTGATTTTAATTTTATGCCAAAAATCATTAGGATATTAAGTAAAGATCATGTTCCATGAATATATTTTGTACATTTCCTACCGTAAATATATCAAAACTTCATTTTTGATTAGTAATATGCATTGCTAAGAACTTCATTTGGACAACTTTATAGGTGATTTTCTCAATATTTAGATTTTTTTGCACCCTCAGATTCCAGATTTTCAAATAGTTGTATCTCGGCCAAATTTAAATGTATTTGTTTATTTAAGTATTTAAGAATAAACACTTTATAAACACAAAAATTGAACTGTATACCTGATTTTGTGGTCGAGGGTCACATATACAGACAACAGATGATATTTTATTAGGTGCACTGTATGTTTATGCTAAACATCCATGGATGAGCCTCAGGCGAGCTCTAGGCATCTCAAACCAGACAAGTGTCATGTTCTTCCATAATCACCTCTCCGGAGCAATGGAGATATGCATAACATCCTGATCTTTGGGGGGGAAAAGGCCATGTGGAGAAGATTTTTTTTGTAGGAATCAAACAGCAATCATTCACAAACGTCTCCATTTCAATACTTATGTTATGCATTTTATATATAAAAAATATCTAGTTTTGATTTGATGCTTTCAGCTATCAGTAAGAGTGCAGCACTCTCAGCACTCAGTGAAATGTGAAACAGACATATTTCAGAGTGTAAATGGATACTGAATGAGTAAAAACGTGGGATAGGACTTGTTTGTATCCATTAGGAATTTGTTTGTTACATAGAGAAATAAGGAGGGTTTAACAAGGAGAGGAAATCTGTTGCAGAGCACACATAAAATAATATAAAAACAATGCAAAGACAGACATTTTAAATAGACTGTTTACAATAACACAAGAAACATGCATTATCTTGTGAGACAGAAGTATGTTTAACTGTACTACTAGGATGCTAAAGCGTACTTCTTTTTCACAAGGGTTAAGAAAGATATAGTGTCAATTAATATTTCACACTGATTTTAAACCCTTCTGCAGACTTAAATCAGTGCAGAAAAAAAGTCTATGTGAGCTCGACCATTAGATGAGATGAATCTGTTCCCGGTGACATTTACAGAGTTCATATTAATTCAGCGAGATTAGCTAATAAACCAGTATGAATGTGAAGAGCTCTCTGGCCATAATGTACAGGCGTCAGGCTCAGACAAATGTGTTTCACTTACAGCTACAGAAATGTCAAATAAAATAATTACTGAAATGAGCATGTGTGCAAAAGCTGGAGCTCTAATGCAAAGCTTGCGTTTTCATTTCAGAAACAACCCCACACTTCTGCCATTCTGAGCTAGTGCCATTTCAATACAAGCAGCAAAACTGGGCCAAATATGGAAAAAAGTGATTACATGTTCCTCTATTTTCAATGGCGCACCATCCTGCTGCCAACAATTGCTTTGACCAGATGATGGGTTTTTTTCCCCTCCGTAAGGCTGCTTTGTTGTGGCCCGCCTCTACTGACGGTTTTTGTGCTGCTGCGATGATAACGGCGCAGGACTGGAGCGAGCGAGTGTAAAGTGGCATTATCAGAGGCAGGTCTCCCAGCCTGGCCCATTACGTGCTCAGATTAGTGGGTGTGTTTGTGTGCGCGTCAGTCTTTGAGAGGCTAGTGTTTCCCAGGAAACTAGTTGATAGAAATATCCAAAGGCCACACAAGAGGACACAAGGGTGTGGATGTGATGAGAAAAACAGTTATTAAAAGAGCCATGCGAAACGTCAAAGAAAACGTAAGATTCGTTGGCCTACTTAGCACTTAAATGTCAAAAGCACAGACTTTCATGTTAACCAGGTTTCTGGCAAAATGTTTTTCTTGCAATTCTAAGAAAAGTCTAAATTGTGAGATAAAAAGTCACAACTACCTTTCTTGTTTTTCTTTTTTTTTTATTTCGTGGTAGAAACCATGAATGCAGGAACAGAATTGCGAAATGTAAACTCAGAATTGTGAGATTCTTTTTTTTCTTTCTTTTTTTTAGATCACAGTTTCGTGTTTATCTCAAATTTTTTCTCTGAATTATGAGCTTCTCACAATTCTGGATTTGTATCTCGCAACTAATTTGTTTATTTTGTATTCCATGGCCTCCATAGTGATGGGTGTTATTTGTAAATGTAAGAAGAATCAATTTCATTCAGAAAACCATTGTCTGTTAATTCATAACAATTTATGTGCAACAAATGTATGCAACGTTACGCTTATTATCTGTAAAAAATTTATGAAGACAAAACACTAAACAGTACAATGAGGTCTATGAAGCTAAGGAAAAATACAAATAGGGTGTGAGTACCAAATCTGGATTTACTTATGAAAATTAGATTACCTGAACAGCAGTGACCTGATATTATGTAAATGTAATTAACAGCTTCGTTTATAACACATCAGTGAACAGGGAACTCTGAGAGACAAACTGAGCCATGAAACCAGCGAGAGTTAAAAGAAAAGAGAGAGTTGACACTGTGGGACTGAAATTCATGAATGCTGTTATTGATAGCAAATAAGGAGGAACGTGAGCTCGTGCTTTCATTTTAATTAGGGTTTAGAACAAAAGGTGGGCCACTGGGTGTCATTTGCTGCTTGTGAATAGCTTGTTTTTTTCTGTATAGCTTTGTGTGAGCTCTGTGACAACTACTGGAATCAGCAAGATCTCCACAAACAACAGTTTATTTTATCAAAAACACAGGAAAAAAAAAACAATACTGTGAAATATTAGCCTATTTCAATTCCTAATATTGTTTTTTTTCATATACTTTAAAATATAATATGCAGTGCTGAATTTTCAGCATCATTACTCCAGTCGTCAGTGTCACATGATCCTTCAAAAATCATTCTAATATGCCGATTTATTATCAATGCTGGAAACTGTTGTGCTGCTTCATATTTTTTAGAACCTGTGATACTGTCACGACTGCCTACTGTGGTGGAGACGAGGAGACGAAGGAGCGCGGAGACGAAGAGGATTAATATGAAACAGACCTTTATTTATCCAAATAAAGCACATACAGACAGGAACTCACGAGTAGGACGAGGGTTCACGTTCAATACAGGACAAAGACAGACTGCACAGACTCGAACTTAAATACACAGGGAAACGAGGATGATAACTAGACACACCTGGAACACATTGGAAAAAATTAGGACAGGAACAGGAGCTCCTGTTTTAATGGCTCAGGGAGCCATGGCAGAGCAGGGGAGCTCGGGAGGCCATGGTGGAGCCGGCAGTTCCGGGAGCCATGGCACAGCAGGGAGCTCAGGGAGCCATGGCGGATCAGGGGACTCAGGAGGCCATGGCGGATCAGGAGACTCAGGAGGCCATGGCGGATCAGGAGGCCATGGCGGTTCCTCCGTGGCATTAGCTGGCTCGGCCATGGGGATATGGCCCCCTCCCCAAAAAAAGGAATCCTGGGGGGCGCTCTGGAGGAGCGGGCACTTGAGGGCGCTCTGGAGGGGATTCAGGGACTGGAGCCCTCCTTGGGCTAAGCACGGGGACAGGAGCCTTCACTCGGCTAAACTCGGGGACAGAAGACCTCCGTGGGCTATACTCGGGAACTGGAGTCCTCCGTGGGCTATCCTCGGGAACTGGAGCCCTCTGTGGGCATTCCTCAGGAACTGGAGCCCTCCGTGAGCTATCCTCGGGAACTGGAGCTCTCCATGGGCTTAACTGAGGATCTGGAGCCCTCCCTGGGCTTCACTGGGGATCTGGAGCCCTTCCTGGGCTAAACTGGGGATCAGGAGCCCTCCCTGGGCTTAACGAGGAATCAGGAGCCCTCCCTGGGCTAAACGAGGAATCAGGAGCCCTCCCTGCGCTTAACTGGGGATCAGGAGCACTTCCTGGGCTTAACTGGGGAACAGGAGCCCACTCTGGGCTGGATTTGGGGACTGGGAAGCACTTACGAGGAGCTGGCTCTGGAGGAGCAGGCACAGCAAGGCGCTTTCGAGGAGCTGGCACTGGAGGGTGCTCTGGAGGAGCAGGCACAGCAAGGCGCTTTCGAGGAGCTGGCACTGGAGCGAACTCAGGGGCTGGAGCCGACACTGGAGCGAGCTCTGGGGCTGGAGCCGACACTGGAGCGCGCCTAGGGACCAGAACCAACCACCTTCTCCTCCTCAGATTCCCCTCTAGGCTCGGGGTGAAAGGCGCGGCTGGTGGGCTTGAGCAACCGCCTTCTCCTCCTCAGATTCCCCTCTAGGCTTGGGGTGAAAGGCGCGGCTGGTGGGCTTGCCGTTGCGGTGACCGGCGGGCTTGGGTCAATGGTGGCCGGCGGGCCTGAGAAAGCCACGGCCGGCGGGTTTGACTTCATAGCAGCCGGCGACCTAGGGACCAGAACCAACTGCATTCTTCTCCTCAGATTCCCCTCTAGGATCGGGGTGAAAGGCGCGGCTGGCAGGTTTGCCGTTGCGGTGACCGACGGGCTTGGGTCAATGGCGGCCGGCAGGATTGACAACGGCGCGGCCGGCGGGCTGGAGTGAGCGTGCGGCGGATTCCATGCAGCCGGGAGAAACAAACGGGAAAAAACTAAAGACTTTCAAAAGCGGAAATAAAACGGGGAGAGGGGGCGCCGCTTACTTCTTTTGGGTCCTGTATTCTGTCACAACTGCCTACTGTGGTGGAGACGAGGAGACGAAGGAGCGCGGAGACGAAGAGGATTAACATGAAACAGACCTTTATTTATCCAAATAAAGCACATACAGACAGGAACTCACGAGTAGGATGAGAGTGCACGTTCAATACAGGACAAAGACAGACTGCACAGACTCGAACTTAAATACACAGGGAAACGAGGATGATAATTAGACACACCTGG